CGTAAACTACTGAAAAATAAAGAGAAAGCAGCATTTTTCTTCTGCATAGTAAAGTTTCAAAGCTATATTAAGTCAGTGTTCAGTTGTAAACTTTTGAAAGAACAACCATAATGTTTTCTTCAAATGTATGAACATTTCAGAGTTACGAACAACCTCCATTCCCGAGGTGTTCGTAACTCAGAGGTTCCACTGTATTCACTAAAGAGAATTATCAGTACAGCTCATTGACTTTGAAGCATTCAAACGGATGTTAGGCAGATTTCTTCAAACAAGGGCATTTGTGCATCAACCTGACAGAAAAGGGCAGTGATCTGCAGCTCATATTACTTTGATAACTTTATGAACTTCAAAGCTCTGTCCAAAATGAACATGGTCTCTTAATTGTTTTTAGTCCACCACTGTGGTTGTGTTGAGGGTACATTTGATGCAAAGTCCCAGTTTAAACACACTATTAGGTAGGTAAGGCCCAAAATACAAGTTCTGTAAAGGAAAGACTTTTTAAAAAATATAAGAAGAATACCTTTGACTTTAAATTAATGTGCATAAGAAAAGCACTTTGCTAGTTTGTGAAAATCAGAAAGCAAAACATTTGTTTTATTTGTCCAATTGGAGCATAATGCAAAATTAAAATAACAGCATGAATGATGAAAAATAAATTTGATTTTTTAAAATGTTGTCTGTTTAATGATTTAAGAGGCCTAAGTAAAATGGATAATGAAACTCTTTAAAATAAAACGCTGAATAACATATTTAAAATTTTGTTTGTCACAGATGGACCAGTCGTCTCCAACCTACATGCTTGCCAACTTAACCCACTTACATTCTGAACAGCTTTTGCAGGGCTTGAACCTCCTTCGCCAACATCACGAGCTGTGTGACATTATCCTTAGAGTTGGCGATGTCAAGATCCATGCGCACAAAGTGGTACTTGCTAGCATCAGCCCATATTTCAAAGCCATGTTCACTGGAAATCTTTCAGAGAAAGAGAACTCCGAGGTAGAGTTCCAGTGCATTGACGAGGCAGCGCTGCAGGCTATAGTGGAATATGCATACACAGGGACTGTATTCATCTCGCAGGACACCGTAGAGTCACTTCTTCCAGCTGCAAATCTTCTTCAGATCAAACTTGTACTAAAGGAATGTTGCACATTTCTTGAAAGCCAGCTAGATCCTGGCAATTGCATTGGGATTTCTCGTTTCGCAGAGACGTATGGCTGCCATGACCTCTACTTGGCTGCTAACAAATACATTTGTCAGAATTTTGAAGACGTTTGTCAGACTGAAGAATTTTTTGAGCTTACACATGCTGAATTAGATGAAATTGTTTCAAATGACTGTTTGAATGTTGTCACAGAAGAGACAGTTTTTTATGCACTGGAGTCTTGGATCAAGTACGATGTGCAGGAGCGACAGAAGTACTTAGCACAGCTGCTACACTGTGTCCGGTTGCCACTGCTGAGTGTTAAGTTTCTTACTAGGTTGTATGAAGCAAACCATCTTATTCGTGATGACCATACTTGTAAACATCTACTGAATGAAGCCCTGAAATACCACTTTATGCCTGAACATAGACTTTCCCATCAGACTGTGTTGACGACACGACCACGTTGTGCTCCTAAAGTACTTTGTGCTGTAGGAGGAAAAGCTGGATTATTTGCTTGTTTGGAAAGGTAAGGAGTATTGGTGAAACTAAGTGGTGTTAACAAGCCATGCATTAACATGTCCCGGTTGAGACAGTCTTTGGGTTGTAACTGTTTAATTTGTAATTAAAGGGCTTCAGTCTTGACATTGTCAGGGTATCAGCTCCTTTCATGAGCACCCAAATGACTAAAAATCAAATTTAAAAAACGTCAGAGGAACAGGGATGAGCATACTATGCTCTTTATTTTTATTTTGTATCTTCCTTGATACGTGTTCCTTATTTGTGCTGAGAACTTTTCTACAATGTAAAATATTGCAAAGCCTTAGTAGATAGTTTGGGTTGCATGTATTTAAATATGAAATTTGTTAACAGTACAGGTATTTTCACTCCGTTTTTGCCTTGGTACCCTTTCAGGTTTTTACTGTGTATATGATTTTTGTTACTCTCCCCAGTCACCAGTCTAGACTGCCAAATAGTAAAAATGTAGTTTAGGTGTCATAGATGCGCACCCCACAAAACCTTATTGGTAGGATAAAACAGACCTTGTACTTAACCAGAATGTATAATTGAGACTGCTAACTCTCTTATTTTTCAAATGATGTTTGAGATGGTATAACTTTGTAAGTTACATTTTAGTGCTTTGAATCCTTGATTGTAAGTAGTATAGCTACACCTTTAGTTAAAGTTGCTTTATACTTTCTCTTATAATCCTCTGTTTTCAATTGCTTAAAACCATTTAGTCTGAAATTTTCCGAACTTTGTGTGCATTAGCAAAAACAGTTCTGTTTCTAAGAATGAGATGGGCGGTGTGGGGGGGGGGAATTAGGTCTGCCAAATTCAGATAAATGGTTGGATAATTTAAGAGCTGTAGTGCCTCAAATGTTTGGAACAAGAACTTGAAATTTGGCAGTGGGGTGAAATGTGCCTTTTGCTGTCCCCATGAAAATCCAACAAGATTTAGGATCCATGTTAGCCTCTGAATCTGGTAATTTACATATACCCAGTATAGCTTACTAGAAGCATGTTGTTACAATATAACATTCTATCTGCACTGAACATGCTCCGAAGCACAGAGCTAGAATTGGATGAGAGCGAATGTGTGGAAGAGGGAGGGGGAGATTATGCAGCACTAATAGCAACAGCCTCTGTCACCTCTATGGCCTAGGACAGGGGTTCTCAGACTTTTATACTGGTGACTGCTTTCACACAGCAAGCCTCTGAGTGCGACCCCCCCTTATACATTAAAAACACGTTTTTATTCATAGATTCTAGGACTGGAAGGGACCTCGAGAGGTCATCGAGTCCAGTCCCCTGCCCGCATGGCAGGACCAAATACTGTCTAGACCATCCCTGATAGACATTTATCTAACCTACTCTTAAATATCTCCAGAGATGGAGATT